AAAAAAAGAAGCTAACTCTTGGGACAACCCACTATATCTGATCTCAGCGCTAACATAAAGAACGTTTGATAATTTACGGACAACCCAAAAATTTTCGAGACGCTCGCTATAATCTGATTAGAAGCGTTCAATGGAGGCTATTACAGTATATGCAGTCGGTGAAAGGTACAGAACTCTCTCTCTCTCTTTCTCTCTCTCTCTCTCTCAAACCCTAACGGTCACCGGTAAACAAATCATCTTTCCCATTTCGCCTTAAATCCTTTGCACCAAGGCTCAGTAATATACTATGGTCATTCGGAAAGTTTTTTCGTTTTCGCACCTTGAAATTCAAGCGAGCACAATTTTATCCAGGTTTAACCTTTTTCCATCAAAAAAGTTTCGTTGTGTTCAGCAAATTTCTGTTAGCACTCATATAGTGCTCCTGTGCTTTTCCCTTGCGAAATAATCTTAGAGAAATCAATAAAGCCTAAAAAGGCGTTTTTGACTAGCTAATCTTTATTGAGTTCTACTCTTTTTTGATAGTCACCGAGGGACTGAGAAAGTCTGATGATTGGTAAAGGAAGGTTTAAAGAGTTCGAAAAATAAACAGGAACCTCGGAGTCAAAGCAGAGTCAACGCGCCCTTAATCTGTAAGTGCGACAATTTGTGAGGTATATGTTAGTGACATTTTTCGGTATTGCAGCTTAGCGAAGGTTGCCTCTAATAGGGCTGTATGACACTTCTAGGCCTGCTGATAATTTTACGCAGCTATATTTACGATTTGATCTAAAGGACCCTCTGAGATGCCCGTATGGCAGGAACACCTTCCAGAAACTGCAAAGCATTAGCTTTCACTTCTCTATATCTAAATTCTTTGAACTAAAATGAACCTACCTCAAGAAAGACGTGGCCTTGGCAAATGCACTGCGCACAATAATGGTTTCCTCAACCTCAACTATCTTACACTCAAGTTCAAGCTTAGAGAATGCAATTATTCGAAAATCGCTCTTTCGTATGTCGAGTTCAGAGCCGCGTAAACTTCCCTACAAAGCGCTTTCTGCAATCTCGGTGGGATCCTCAGAAACTAGAAGACTTCCCCCACAGATCCATATATAGCAACCAGGGTCAAGCATGTTGATGCGATATCCGGGACCCTTATTTACGACCCCCCTCCCCCTCCTAAAGGTGCCCATCCGTACGACCCCCCCCCCCCCCACCTACCTCCCACCCCCTCCTCCGCCTCCTTTTGCGGTAACCTGCATAAACGAATGTTAATCTCAAAAGGTGCCTGTCAGTGGATCTCGATCAAAATTTTAGGTCAAAGAAAGATAAGTACTTACAAATTGGGAGATAATGCAAGTAATGCTTCACTACTCAAAAACAAATAATTCTATGGATTGGGTAAGTAGTAAAATTTTGCAAATTGGCTATGCTTATTGTGTTTGGGAAAATATAAATGGAAAGGACATCACTTGACAAAGCAAAACATGGATTTTGATTTGAATGCTATTTAAGCTGTACTCTACCTATAAAAAAATGAAATAACAAAACAACTAAACAAAATAACAAACCAAGAAAAATATAGCATTAGGGTACAGTTCACTTTAGTCGTTATAATTGACTATTTTATAATAACTTCTTTTCTAGTGAGGGCTAAGAAACTTTTCTGCTGTTTATGAATGTTTGGCAAAATTCTTTGATGGTCTAGTGGTATCGAAAGATATAGACTATAGTTCTGGAAATTAGAACGTTTTAGACTTTAATGACAATCCCGTGTTCTTCCCGTACCCGACATTATTTTTTTTGCCGGGAGAAGAGACGATATCTTTGAAGCGTAAAAATTGTTTTCGACTAAGAAGCTTACTTTCTATCTATTGCACAGATTATTCTGCGAAAAAACCGTTTTAGCGTTTTCCAGAACGATGTTAAAGACGTGCATGAGCAAGGTACTTTGAAAATTCGTAACTAAGGTCAGGGAGAGACTGAGAGGTTGTAATGGATAGGCTGTGTAGTAGTGTGCCCAGACTGACCATGGAAAAAGTTTTACCCATTGAGGAGCAGTGAGCTCGAAAAAATCTAGATGCGACTCTCGCAATTAGATGCGATCCTAAAGCAAAAAGTGGGATTTTTAGGCTTGAAATTTTGTAACTCACCGGAGAAGTTATGAAACAGCCTAAAATTCTTATGATAGAAAATAGGAGGATGGTCTCGTACTACAGCAAAATTGCAGAGAGCAGGCCTCCACAGCGGCGAAAAAAATTTAGATGCGACCCAAAAACGACCCCCTTTTTTCATGCTGGCATATATAAAATTTTAAAAAAGTTCACAAGCTATGAAATATAACCAGGTTTTTCACAACTGTAGCGGATCATTTCCAAAGTACAAATTCTATGGGCCCTTGAAAGACATAACAAAAAGTTTTAAAAATTATCGATGGTCATCTGGTAGAGATGAGCGCTTTTGTCGAGAGTGTGAGACTTCAGTAATGCTTCGAAACCAAAATTTCTAGGCCAATTGGTACATTTGACATTCTTGTCACATGTACATGCCTAGTGTTTGAGCTTCTGAAAGTGTCTTTGAAATCTTCGTTCATACTTGTGGCCAGCAAGTTCGATCTTCGTCTGCGACACTTTTTTTGCAGAGGGGAAAATGCTGTTTTTTTAAAGAGTAGAGAATGTTTGCGACTGAGAAGCTTATTTACTGCATTCCACACTTTTTTAATTCGGACCACCCTCTCTTACGATCCCTCCCCCCACCCCGGTGCCCCCTTTACAACCCCCCGTTGCGACAGTCGCATCACACGCTTGACCCTGATAGCAACCCCTATTAGCCCTCTGACTCTCTCTTGAAATATGGCACTAACGTCAAAGGCGCAAAAAGCGAAAGAGCTTTAAGAATGACCTAATAGAAGGAAAACTTATCTCTGTAAGCACGAGCTTTGTCCCTCCCCCCCCCCATACCTTCGATAATCTAGAGACAGGGCCCTTAAAGTAAAAGTTGTTTGATTATCTGCCCCCCCCCCCCCATAAACAGTGAAGGTTGTTCATATAGAACCAGAGAAGAAAAAAGATGCAAAATATTTAGTAAAAGCAAAAGTATCTCTTGAAAATAGGATAGTAACGCTGCAATAAGTTTGAAATTTTTCATTTGGCGGCATTGCCAAATGAAAAAAAAATGGTTTTCGCTCCAGGACCACGTAATCCACAAGCCCGAAGAAAATGAGGAAAAGCTAGTTTTTTGTTTGTGTTTATTCCAAAAACAACCGTGTTTCGGGAGTAACGATTATCAAGGAAAGATAAACAAGAAAAGATTTAGCTTTAAAAACAAAAAAGTTCTGTTCTTACCAAGTTGTAATGCGCGTCAAAACCAATCCAGTTTTTAGTGCGTCCTTTAAATTCTTACCCCCGTATTGTGGTTCCCGTTTTCTGAGACGTTTGTGAATTGTTGCGCTTATTTTTCTGAGCAATAATCGTCCAAACTAGGAAAAAATCGCTGCGAAAGCACTGAAACCGAACAAGGTAAAAAACGCACTTTTCCGACTTTTCACAAAAAATTACGCCACAGTCGAAGAGGTAAGCGTCGGGCCGTTGTCTGCATTATAAACAAAAGCAAGATCTACAGAATGCACGAAAAAATCGCGTGAAAAGAATTGAACGGCGGGAAAACGAGAGGTTTTCAAAAACAAGGTTTTTGCCTGATTTCCCGTTCAAATCAAAAAATGTGGTTTTGGAACGTTGTCACCGTGAAAGTAGAGATCAAGAGCTTCAATATGATATATAGCGTGCTAAAATTGGGTTCGAAACAACGAAGAAAAGGGCACCAGAGCCAAATGCCCCGCGCCCCGCGTTTGGGACAGCGAGGTAGCGCGCAGCGCGCGGAGACGCAGACGAGCAGCGGAGACAGACCAAAGCCTACGGGGCATTTGGCTCTGATAGTAAATCCCGCGGGGTCTCAATAAAATCCTACAACATTATATATCATTCTGATCATCATGACACGACGAGGAGCACTGACAACGTCCCAAGCTGTGAAAACCATTCATTAACGAGAGAGACCTGCATTTCGTGCGCGAGTCTCTGCGCAAGATTTGAGCGCACTTTCGCGTTTTTATTCAACTCTAATAGCTTCCCCAAACTTCTGAAACTCAATTTTAGTCAAACAGGAGGTTAAGTGAGAGTCGTTGTCCTGAATTCTGAAAAAAAACTTTCAAAGAAAGCTTTTATTTAGCGTAAAAAAACTATAAAAACGCAGATTCTCGGTTTCACTGAGGTAATCTAAAGGTATCATTTCCTATATTTGCTTCACTCACACTCATTCCGTTACAGTCAGATTTATAAAATCCGGGGCTTCGCCCCGGATGGCTTTTTGCTTTTTTAGGTTGAAGGTTGTCTTCTATTACGGCGTTCAAAGGAAGGTTACCAAAGTTAATGGTCCTATGTATCGAGGGTATGCCCCCCCCCCCCTTCAAAAATGCTGAAAGGTGCTTATCTAGTTTTGCTTGTATGACCTGACCCTTAACGACCAATTATTACCGAGTTCTAATGAAATAAGATAAAGGACAGCAGGTGCGAGTTGTTGAACACTATAATTGTAAATGTTGACCACTGCGGTTGGAGACCTGAAGTATTTCCTAACTTTTAAGTGTTACGGTGCTACTTCAGGATTTAGCAGCAGAAATTTGACAACGAGGGCATGTAGCGATGGAAATAAAGATAGTAAAAGGGAGGCAACATTAAAAATTTATATGCAGTAGGTGGGTTAAAAAGTCAGACAAAGGTATTGCTCAAATCGTATGCTTTGCAGGCATCAAAGGTTGAACTTGAAAGGAAAAAAGTAACTGCTTCGATGTGTTCTGGCCATTTTCCATGGAATCAATTAGAACTGCATTTGCGTTTTTGCGTATGTAGTCTGCAGTCTCCTGATTGTGCCTATTCCTCCTTCAAAGAGCAATGGTAGAGGCAATACATATCTTGCCTTAATACCAACAATTGCAATAATTGTTTACTGTGTTGCAGACGTTCTTAGCAAACTATTTTTGTTTTCGGACATCCCTTCAAATCAATCTTTGTTTCTAATTTGCATCCAAGTGGAACCTGAGGAATTCCTCTTGCTGGGCAGTCCCGGCGAGCTGAAATAAAGAAATTTCTTGCAGTTAGCACGCAAGTTGTTATTTCAAATGTGCAAGTATGTACCCCTGATGAAAATTGATGTCTACAGTCTGCTCCAATCGGGATCAGGCCGAACCGTCGGCGTAAATTTGCACGCTCGCAGCGCTAGCAGTCTGCGCTGCATGTGCGCGCTGCCGGAGAGAGCAAAAAGATTGAAGAGAGGGCAGAGAAGCAGGCCGTGGGCGTGACCGCGAAGCCCTAACGACGCGGTCTCCCGCCATGCCAATTTTGGCGTGGTTGGGATTGGGGCAGACTGTACATAGGTTCTGAAGGCACGCAGATGCACTTTTAACAACTGACATGTAAATCGAAAGCTTAGGTTCGATGTGAGTGGAAGGAAAGGTGATAGGAAAACAGGTTAGCACTTTCCTGTTCAATCATAATTCTTTTCAGGATTAGTAGGTTAACACCTTTTATTCGCATAAAACAAACAACTTTTCTGTGCTAATCTTCTAAATGCTTGGGATGAAAGAGATGCGCGCATGTCTTGGCCAAAAACAAAATTGTAATTCCCTTGATTTCCTAGTGACGGTTACATTCAACAAACCAAGCAATATCTATAAAATGACGTCCCGGTTTTGCATCAAATGGCAAAAGCTAGAATTGATCAATTAAGTTAAAACTGAATTTCCTAAAATTCTCCAATCTGCAACTTGCTCACACATGCACTACTCTCATTATTTCCGCTAAAAATCAGCGGCAGACATAAAACACAAGTGGCAAAATGTTTTTCCTGTGACTGACTTGCAGCTATCCCAAAGCGCCATTCATATTAATAGGATTTGCTCTGGTCATTAGCTTTATCCTTTTAGATTTTTCAAGCATCCATAGAAGGCACCAAAGTGAAAGGAATTTCATGCACCATTTCGTTGCTAAACCATTTGGCAAGAAGGATATTCTCATGATAACATAGCTCACATAAGATACTGAACCGGCATACCCATGTAACATGCGTGAGCGCGCTATCGGGCCACTCGCGGATGCATGTCACGCATTTACCGGGCATTTACCAGGCCATCCGCGGGTAACTGTTCGGGTGCTTATAGGGTCATCTGGGGGCATTGCCGGGCGCTTATCGGGTGCTCATCGGCGCACCCTGGGGATGGGCGTGGCGTCGCCCTGGGTGGCCGGCGGATGTCATAATTGTCTAGACACTGAGACTTTTTTCCAACTATGGTAGGAGCAGAAATTCGAGGTCCATCCATAACCAGTCGGGGCAGTTCAATGAGCTATACAGCTTCTGGATAAAGCAATCGTAAAAGTCTGTTTTTACGCATAGAGGATTAGAGCTATCAGTAGCTGCTTTAATTAGAACTTCCCAATCTTTACTATTGATGAAAGTAAAACCTAGAATTTTCGGAACCACAGCCCTTCAAAAAAGATCGAAAAATGGAAAATTTCGATCCTGCAGTATTTTTTGCCTCTCAAAAATTCTTGAACAGTCTCTGTATAGTCAGTCTTGTAGTACTGGCTTATGGCTTGGGCTGGCAGTTTCCTTGTCTCGTAGCTAAGAAACACTTTTCTGTTTCAAAAGAATTCCGATTTGCTGAAGAACACGTTGCTTTGAAAAAGATCTTTGTTTTTTTGATTCCGAGAAAATTTGGAGCAGAAGTTGGCCTTTGTTCTTTTCATTTTGTTTTGCCCAAATGACATGTTTATTCCATCTGTCTCGCTCTTGAATTGAGCTCGAAGCCATACTTCTGTCACATATGGGCAAGCTGGATATCGTGGAGCAAGAAGCAAGGGACATGGTTTTTGCGGGATTTGTAGCGATGCCCCGTAAAAAGCATATATCAGCTTGATAATGTATATTAAATATTGCCAATTGCCTCAAACAAAATCGGTGTAAAAGTGGTAAAAAAAATCTTTAGAGAACCTTCTCATCACGCAAGGCAATCTATTAGGTTGCTCTATAGGTTCGTAGCGGTTTTATAAACCAACAAAATCATCAATTTAGAAGTGAAAATCGATATATTCCTCGTTGTAGCGCACGACCTTTTGGCACATTCTTGCTAGCTTCTCAATCGCAATTTTTCAACCGGCAGCGCACCGGGTCCCAAGAAAGTCAACTAACCAACGCTCAGATTACTTACTGAAATTAAGACATGCTCCATTCATGAGGTTTGCTAAAGAGCGGAGCAAATGATAATCTGATAAAGCGAGATTGGGAGAGTACGTTGGGTACTGAAGTACCATCCAGTCAAATCGTGCAGGACAGTTCTGACGACGTTTGCTGTGTGAGGTCATTCTTCGTCACGCAGAAAAACTCACTGGATCTGTCTTTTAAGCTTTCTCAGCGGTAGGACCTGGTTTAGACGATGCGATTGGACTGCTTACGGTGTGGTTGACCATCGCCTACTTTTACAAATTTTCAGTGTAGAACGTCCTGCCCGTCCCCCGAAAAGGAATAGTCTTGTTCAAGGACACCCTGCTTAGCCCCTGATCTGCGCATCTTGGCAAATGAACCGCTACTCAAAGATATGAGGTAAAATGAAAACGGTACGAACTTATGGAATGACCTAGTATTACCGGATTTTTATATGGAATCCTATCGCTACTCTCACACAAGTTATCAATACATATCACCAATTTCCATCCCGCCCCAGTTCCCAGTTATATCCTCCATTCCACCCTCCCCTTCCCACTATCTCCACTCCTCCCCTCTCTTTATTCCACAGCACGCTCATCTTTCGGAGGTCTCGCAAGTGCTCATCACCCTACCGAACGCATTTCGGTAAATCTAACGATTGCTCCGCTGCTCTTCATGCAAACGCGATTATTGAAAAGTGTGCCCCCAAAATAAACAAAAGTCTTGTTTACTGCAAAGGAGAAATGGTAAGACTCCAAGTTTTGTGTGTAAATGCGCAATAGGGACTTAGGGTGGCTCAGGGAAAAGAAGTTGAACCACAAACCCCTTCTGTCCACCTATTTACAACCCTCTAATTTTTTTAAATGATGACGCAATCCTGGGATACAAACATCATGTTTTTATCCTCTGTTTAAACTGTTTCTATATCCCAATCTACTGTTCTTTGTTACTCATGTTATTTTTATAAGAGTCTCATAGTGGATGTCTTGGTCTAGCGAAGTCAACGGGGATTTTGTTTCTCAAAAAAAGTCAGAACCACCTCATGCCGAGCTTTGCTCAAGATGTCAGTCCAACTCCTACAAAGGAAGAGTCCTATTCGCTGTGGCGAACTGGACTGAGATGCATATCAAAATGTGTAATGAATTGACAAATCTACGTTTTTTCTGCTGAGCGAACCTCTATGAGAAGCTAAGAACTATGAACATGTGAAGTCACTGATATGACATGGTGTTGGTGTACTGACTCAAAGCAGTGCACTTATTCACCGAAAGATAGAAAAGTGCTTTGGAACAACTTTTGAAGGTGTGGCATTGAATGTGTGCCATCTTTGGACTTTCAAACGTTCATGCCTTTTCCTGAAGAACCGCTCAGCAGGTACGAATATCAATTGAAGCACCTCAACAAGCGCACCCAATGTTGTGAAGAGAATTACCCCATTCCTGACACCTACAAATCCATTACTTTGAGGAAACTATGAAAATTACTTATCGTCAATGCTTTACTCACATATGCATCTTCCTTCAGAGCATCGAAGGCCAGCAGGACACGTCCCTGTACGATTGCAGTTAAAAACGTCTTGAGCGTTGACTAAAATTCCATGGTTACGTGCCCCAAGTTGCGATAACTTTGCAAGATAAATCAATATGCTTATTTTGGATGAAGTAACAAAAATATACCACATAGCACGAGGAATGGGAGTGCAGCTACTAGCAAGTTCATTTTCACCTGAAGCATTTTTACTAAAAGTTTGTTTCTGAAAAAGAGAAAAATTTTTTGTCAATTGGAGCTTAATAAGGAACATATTATGACTTTTGAAAAGAGGAGAATGAGAAGAGAATTAGGATGTAGCTAAATTTTCAAAGTGCATCTAAAACTGCTATGATGGGATTACAAGCTACCCACTGCGCAGATTTGCATGAAAGATAGACGTGAACGGTTGATAATTGCTGAACGGGTTTCTTGCAACAAATAGGAATGCTGATTGAACGGTGAATAACCTAAGAATCCTTTCTTCATGAAGTCTTTGGCAAAGTGGGGATTCAAGTGGTACCAAAGCTCAGTTTACAAAAGTGTAAAAATTAGGGTGTATCTGAAATATACAGGGTGTCCCAAAAAAATGTGCCTACTGTTTGATTGCCAATAACTCTTTTGTAATGTTTGTTTCGAGAAGCTTTAGGTACCGTTTTGTAGAGCGAGCTTAAACTTAGATTTACAGTATGGGAGCGAATCATCTGTCGCCCTTTATTATTGTAGGATTACGGTACGAACTTCGACAAGGATTTTAGGTCATTGGAGGCTATATTTTGCCTCGGAACAAGACCAAACAAGCCGGAAACTCTTACACTACGGTAATGGGAGCCGCTGGTTTCGAATTTGAAATTCTCATTTTACTATGATGCTTCTTTCCTAAGTTCCCGGTGAATCGTAGTAAATCAATTCCCGGCATTTGTCAGAAAGGTAATTACACCCTCAAAAAAGCTGAAAACACTCGTAAAAAGTTGTTAAGTGGAATCAGCATGCGCGAAAACCCTAGTACACGATTTTTCAGATTTTTTGAAAAAAATTTAGTTTGGTGGTATATTTCACAATGGTTCCATATGCTGGAAGTTCTTACCGTAGCCCTACAGTAATGAAGAGCGATCGATGATTCGCTCCATACTGTAAATCTAAGTTCAGCCTCGCTCTACAATACGGTACCTGAAGCTTCTCGAAGCACTTCATTACAAGAGAGTTATTTACAATCAAACAGTAGGCACATTTTTTTGGGACACCCTGTATTGTGACACATCAGTCAGACTGATTCGCTTTCGCACAAAGGTTTTTTTTTGAAAAGCAAGGTTTTGTAAGCGTACTCTTTCGAAGTCATTGCTTTGTATATACAACTGTTTTGCTTTTACATTGTGCGCAATTTCTTGTAAGCGTAACATCATTAAGACAGTGTAGAATAGGTAAGCAAGGAGCACTCAGAACATAAAAAAACGGAGAGGATATCATCCGAGTTTGAGGGGAGGGAAAACTTGTTTTTGATAGCATATGTTGCTCTTCCCAAACCGCGATTGGCTTGCCGAACAGAACTCGATGAAGAACTATGTTGGGTTTTCGAAGTATTGTTCGTTAATCACCCCTCCTTTATGAAAGTTACACCCCTTATAGACAACATCACGAAACTTGAGGAGAGTTGCAAAGCAAGAATTAAAATCTCATGCATCGACAAAAGAGTTTGCTAAAAGCTTAGAAACGATATAGGGCAACTATGTCATTTTAATTTTAAAAAAATGTCATTCAGTAAGGAAAACTTTTAAACAACTCTCTCCTTTATCAGACACAAGGGGTAAAGCAAGCTTGCGCTCTGACGTAAACTCTAATGTTCGGCCAGACCTCAGGAAGATCCCGATCCTAAGTTTAGAAACACGTCCATACTTCAAAGACCATACAAGTGGAGACTCACTAGACTAGACATAGACTCACTCATCATTTAAAATTGAATTACATTCTCGATAACTCAGGCAATGACGTTTGAATCAAGCTAAAGAGAAGCTTCAGGTTTAAACCAATGCTATCAGTGCTTTGTTACGCAGTTTGAACGTGAAGCTGCTGACACTGCATCCATGTCGACCTGCGAACCCACAAAACGCTGCAGCGTCCTTCCAAAAGTTATCGAACAAGTAACTACGCTCCGCGGTACGGTATGAGAAATGTACTGCCTTCATTACGTAAAATACTTATTGAAAGCTGAACACGGTTGGGTAAAACACATGCGAATGAGAAAATGGATTCTAGAAACATCATTCATCCTTGAGCATATTGCTATAGAGGAAAACATCAACAAAGCGAAATGAAACTGCTGAGACTTTTGCCTGGTGACTGCGAACGTCACCACCTCCGCCTAACAAGTATGTGTAAAATGCTATCGAGCAAATGAGTGGAAAAGCGATGGAGTTGCACGTAAGAGAAGATAGGCCGTCTGTGTACATTGTACATGTATACTAGCAACAATGAGATCTAATGATAAAATGAGCCTGCCCGACGAACGTTCTCGATAAAAACGAAATGTGAGAGTTTGCAATCGACACGTCTTTTTCAAACTCAACATTTTCGTTTGACCAGCAATTCAGCAGCCAGTGCAGGCGGTCTAGTCTGCCTCATTAATAGGAGGTAAGGGAGGCTTAGGGTTGGGCCAGACTGCTCAGCGTACCCTACGCGACGTACGTAGCGTACGCACACGTCACAGTCTTTCCCAATCCCAATCAGGCCGAAATTGTCATGGCGAGAGTCCGCGTCGGGATGGTTTCGCGTCGCATTTGCGGCTAGCTCGCCTGCACTCTCCCTAATCTCTTCGCTCTCTTCGACAGCGCATAATGCAGCGCAAACCACTAGCGCTGCGACTGCGCAAATTCATGCCAACTCTTCAGCCTGATTCCAATTGAAGCAGACTGTATAAAGATGTGAGGAGTTCGCCGCGCAGTCTGGCCCAACCCTTACCGCGTTTTTGTAGTTTTTGCAGCCGTCATCCGCTTTTGCCTGGTACCACTGCTGTAGCGAAGAGAAGCCAAATTATCTCTGCGGGAGGCGCGGACTGCAAATTATCCGCGCCAAAGTGAGTGAAAGTTTTTGCAATTCTTCTGTTGCAGGGTGGTCGGCGTCAAGCAATTGAACAGAGAAAGATTTTGTAAGTCGAAGACTTGCTGGCAAGAAAAAAAGAGAGACAGGGACAGGGAAAAACATCACGAAGACAAAGAGCCTCTGGACTCTAGACAAATCTATGTCGATGGGAGAGCTGACGGTATTTTTGACAAGACAAATGCAATGATTCGAAATGTTCTACGAATATTTTTGGTTTCGAAGCTATGCATTTACGGATGGATGCAGTGTCAGCAGCTTCACGTTCAAACTGCGTAACAAAGCACTGATAGCATTGATTTAACCCTGAAGCTTCTCTTCTGCTTGATTCAAACGTCATGCCTGAGTTATCGAAAAAGTATTTCAATTTTAAATGATGAGTGAGTCTATGTCTAGTCTAGTGAGTCTCCACTTGTATGGTCTTTGAAGTATGGACGTGTTTTATAACAGGCTTCCACTAATGACCGGAGCAGATCCCGCTTTCGTTAGATTATTCAGGAAAGAAATCAAAAATTTCGAAAAAGGCAGGCTAACCGCAGGCCTGCGCTCAAATTTCTGCCTTCAAGCTCTTTCTGCAATGTTGTCATGAGCGTGAACTGGAGTAAGACATCTTCAATATGTATGAGAGTCCGTATGCAGTGGTTGCAGATTTCTGCAGATTCTATTGGTTGTTGCAAAAATGATGTCCGTTTTTCTAGGCCTATATTTCAAACAACTTTTTTTTCATCAAACTTTCCTTTTCGATATAGAATTTGCATATCATTGGAAAGCCCTCTTCATGTACTTTCTAACGATGGTGGAAATAGACTGCTATCCTCATCTGTGAGAATTTCACCAGCACCTCGCATAACTGCACTCAAAATTGAAATTTCGATGCTTGAGTTTCCGTGGCCACAATTCAGGCGCAAATGAACGAATTCTTCTGAAAACATAGCATTTCTATTGGATGAAGATTATTTACCTACAGCGTGCTTATGTGGATTTTTGGAGATATCTGGATTGAGAAATGGACGCCTCGAAAGAGATACTCACTGCTGGCATTCTATGGATCACAAATTTCTCATAATTAAGGCCGTCGCCAAAGCTTCGCCCATTTCTGTAAACTTGAGATTAGCACACCTCAACTACAATATTTAAAGAGAAACTCAGCTATTCACTGCATTTCAAAATATTCATTTCAAATTTTTCCAGTTTGACACTTATAAGCCTACAACAAGTAGGCTTAGAAAAGTGAACTTTTTTGAATTTTTGTCTTTTCTTTTCGCAGAACTCTTTCGTCGGAGTCTTTTCTATACCCCCATAAACTCTTGGTCTCTGCTACAAAATAAGCTGATTGCCAGCCATACGAACAAAACTTGAAGGGAGTTGTAAGCTCTTAAAGAAGAGGTTTTCAAGAGAAAAACTTTTAGCTTTTTGACGCGTGGTTTTCTTCCCAATTGCGATATCAGTATGAGCAGGCGCGTGCTAAATTACGAAAGGTTTGCTGTTTCTGAAGGTCTTGACTGCATTCAAAAATATGAAGACTGAACGAAGTTATAGCCCTCCAAAGTGAAAATTTGCAAAACGGACATTATTGCAACAACCTAATAGTATGCAGGCTATTGAGGACTTCATCCTGCAAAAAGTGATTTGCAACCAGGGCTCGGCACGAGGTGGCTAGATGAAAATGCAAAAAACGAAGTCCCCCTTGACTTTCGGATATTTTTACGAAGTCCCCTTTGAGCTTACACCATATTTCATAAAAATTCTCCAAAAAAACGAAACGTCGACTAAAAAAAACGCAGCCAGTTTTGCGTGTCTTCGTCCACAAAAACGAAACCCCCTTTGCTTTTTGTCCCAAAAACGATATCCAGCTTGCTTGTAAGCCACCTGTGCCGAGCCCTGTTTGCAACAAGCCTTGAAGTTATTTCTGGTTCTGACCATAATGCTCATGTGAGTCACAAAGCAACATACAAAGCAGGGTGTATTCACTAGTTAGCAGCTAAAGAGTGGCAAAATTCAAGAAAGGTACCACTTGGTAAGTACTTTGAGTTTCCCGGACACACCGCAAGACTTATGCTTTAGAAAAGAATCAAAATGCGACTTCGCAAACAATCGTG